CCCCAAAACCCCAAAACCCCAAAACCCCAAAACCCCAAAACCCCAATTTTAGAGCAATTTGTTGAAATATGACTGATTTGAAGAATTTTTACTGGATGGGCTCACGGCAGAGAGGGCAAGTTGTGTGCCTGGAGAGGAGCAGTGAGAGGCAGTCTGAGTGGAAGAGGTGGCTGCAAGGGAGTTTTATGGCTTTGGTGAGCATGTTTTCATAGCAGATAGTGCATGTTGGGGGGTTCATCCTTCCTCCTTCAGTATAGTAATGATCAGGGGTAATGCTTATTTCATTTAACTCTTTTAATGGAATTTTGGAGATAGGCATTGTAGCTTCGGTGTGAGGGAACCTTTGAATTGTTTCAGCTTCTTCTGTTTGCCTTTTTATTTCTTCTAATCTTCTTCTTTGAGCTATTTGACTTCTTCTTTGAGCTATTTCTCTTCTTCTTTGAATTCTTCTTCTTTGAGCTCTAAATTTTAGCTTCTTGCTTTTTTCTTTGAGCTTCTTGCCTTTTTCTTTGATCTTCTTGCCTTCTTCTTTGAGCGTTTTTCTTTCTTCTTTGAGCTAGCAAACTTCTCCGATCTTTAAATGTTTTTTGAGCTTGCAATCTTCTTTGGTCTGCTATTCTAGATGGAGTTGAGACTGAAGGATTATTATAGTCAACATGTATCCCTTCGACTGGCTTTGAATGAGAAAAAGCAAGCTCTCCGTTAATTTTTTCAATAGTGTTTCCTAATCAACGTGGGCAGGCTTCTTGTTCTTTAGGGATCGTGAAGCCAATACTTCATTCAAGACATTTAAAGCTCTCCAATTCAATTTCACTAAAAATAGTATAAAACAATTGAAGTCTTACTCATCATCTTGCAGCTCCAAGTTTCATAAATTTCTACAAATATTCGCTATGTTCATAAGTGGTTCCTCTATTCCTTTATATTCCATTTCTCTAAACAATTTTTTAATTATTAACTAAATCAACCCATATTCACTTCAAAGGGGTTTTGGGGTTTTGGGGTTTTGGGGTTTTGGGG